AACATCATATTGTTTATTCTGTTACCAAACAAATATGCCGGCAGTTTATTCTCTATAATATAACCTGTCTGTTGGAATCCTTACATTTATATTATTCTCTTTGCTAAATCTTAATAGGATTCGGTTTCTATTGTTTTATTTCAGTGCTAGCCACTTCTCATCGAGCTTAGTGTTCGCTCTTGAGAGTTGACCTTGATCCCATGGGATCTCGGCTTATGATAGCCCTCTGTTATAGGTCTTCACACTTGATGGAATAAGCCCTTCCTCATCAACATCTGCATGTTGACTTGTTGGCCTTGTGCTATAGAGTACATATTCTTTTTTTATTTACTTCCTCTCCTGATTCAATATTTTTCGTCCAGGTCGCTGTTATGGGTGCTAGAGGGGCAGTGAAAATCATCTTCCGTGGAGGCGATGCCAACACTCAATTAAAGCACGAGGAAGAATACATCGATGCATTTGCCAATCCCTTTCCTGCAGCCACAAGAGGTTTCGTTGATGACATTATCGAACCTCGACAGACTCGTATGCGCTTGTGTGCTGACCTAGAAATGCTTGCTAACAAGGAAATCAAGGCTCCCTGGAAGAAGCACGCCAACATGCCTCTTTAGTCCCCCCCCATTGATGCGAATCGGTATCATTGCCCACTTGGTTGGCATTTGCACATCTAGTGAAACTTTTTTTCTAATTAGCCGATCTCATGTTTGGTTTTTGATAGTTTCATTATTTTTTTCTACTTTCTACCTGAACTTTGTGCACAATAAATAATTTCAGTTCAAAGGCTCTTTAACCTGGAAAAAATGTTCTCGCAATTTGTATGGGAATCCTCCTCTTCCATTTTACATTTTCATTTAATGGTAGTTTATGTCATTGCTTGAGTCTCCTATATCCTCAGGCAATATCTTGCTCGAAAGCCTAAGACTTTTTGATCGAATTTTAGAATGAAATGTAGATTAGTGTGAATTGGTTACTTGGTTTCGCCTAAAACCAAAGAATTACTGTGGAATGATGGCTGTCGGATGGTGCCAAGAAGTATTCTGCTCAACGTCATGCAACCCCGATGAACTTATGTTAAACCGTTGTCTGCACTATGACATATCATCAAAGCAAGAATCCGTCCTGTAATATATAACATCATTATACTAAACGAAGAAAAAATTTAATAGAAAATGTATGCTTGAACGCAAAATACCTTGATTTTATAGTTTGTGATAAGAACCGAAAGCTTTTAACAACCATGACTGGATGGTTATGAAAAGACTCGTCCACTTTATGTACGGTTATCCACTCTTCATATCTTTGGAAACCACGAAAGATAAGATGATACGGAATAAAAGAGTAAAAGCTTATTATGACTG